CCCCCCGCCTATGCGGCCCCTGCGGGGTGCTCACCCCCAAAGAGGCTGCTTTGTCCGGTATGAGGGGGGATTTTGTACCGGCCGTCAGGCGCGTGGCGCTTTGTGGCCCCCTCAGCAGGGGTCGAGGCCGTGGCAGAGCGTGGCAGAGACACTCGCACTGTCCCGCCCTCCTCGTTCCTCCTCCTCCTCCTCCTCGCCCGCCAGACCCCCTCCCCCGAAGCGAGACAGCAGGGGGTACCCAGGACCGCTACCGAGAGACTGGCCCCGGGCGTCGGGCCTTGGACAGCGGCCGAGGTCAGAGGATGTGGCGACGATCCAGCCAGTCTCCCGGACTCCCTGCCCCCCAGGCGGGGACGGGCAGCCTCAACGGCGGCCGGCCGACATGTGGCAGGAAGAGGGTGCCGGCGAAAGGGGGGGCGAGGGGGGGCGAGGGGGGGCGAACGGGGGGCACAGAAAATACGGATACCTGCTGGTGCCACGTCGAGCAGGTTCGGACCGATGGCCGCCACGTCCGGACCCCCCGACCGACATCGGCCGCACGGCCATGTGTATCTTCGCGGGCCGAGGGGGGCACTGGAGAAGCATGCGCTCCCCCCCCCCCCCCCCCCTACGGGTCCTCTCCTTTGGTGCATTGTGTGGTAAACGTGTCCACGGGCTATTTTCCGCGCATGTGCAGGGGGGCGGGGGGCGGCATCCGGCGTCGGCCCCCTCTCCCTTACGGCCCCCCTCGGCCGCCCTCGCCGCGATCGTGTAGGACCCCGTACTTTGCCCCGCCGCGGGCATATACCCCCACTATCAGCCCCCCCCCCCCCCCCAGTGGGACGCCCCGCCCCCGGGCCCCTCTCTCCACTCCCCGTGTTATGATTGTGTCCGGCACACTTGCCCTCGACCCTGTATATGGGAATGGCGCAGGGAAGAAGGGCCCCCCGTCCAAGCACAGCGTCCGGGGAGGGGGGGGGGGCGGGAGGACCTGGCACAAGACCGCACTCAGCCATGTGCAGCGGTATGGACATTGAACAGTTCGCGGTTTGAGATTTATATTGCGTTTGAGGACTCGCTCATAGTTTACAAGGACAGTTGATCTTCATCAATCGGGGTGTGGCGTGCGAACCGGACACACACGCGGGAGGGGGCGCGATGGAGGCAGGGGGGAGGGGGTTGGGAGGGGGTACAAATGTGGAGAGCTGGGGAGCGGGGAGCGGTGGGGGGGGGGGGGACCGACCCCGCGCGCAAGAGGGGATTTGGGGGGCGCTCTCGCCTGCATCATAGCCACATGCGCGACGGAGCGCGGCGCATTGCCGGCCCCGGAGCAGCAGGGTCCATACGGGGGGGAGAGGCAGAGAGGGGGGGAGAGAGGGCCGAGGCAGGTGGGTGCGTGCGTGCGCGCGCATGTCGGCCTTCTCAGGTCATGCACGCAAACGCACACACATACACATGGCGCTTTCGGTCTAGGGCAGAGGGGGGGGGGAGGGGGGAGGCGCGCGAGATCGGGGCCCGTGGGCCCTGTAGCTCGTAGCCACATTCGTGATTTGAAGATATCGGGGAGGGGCGGGGGGGAGGGGGGGAGGGGGGAGGAGAAGGGACGGCTGGTGGCTATGCCATGGAGAGCACTTCCCTCCGGCAGCGCCACACAGCGGGCGCGAGCGCGCTTCTCTTCGGCGCGAGGTCGTCACGAAGGCCATCAGGCCGTGGCGGCGAAGCTATGGCACACCAGCACCGCAAGGGTGGCAGAAGTGGCGGGTGAGAGGCAACGCGAGGCGGCGACTGTCGTCACCATTGTTGCTCCCACTGGCACCACGACCGGCGCCGGCGCAGTCGCCTTGGCGGCCATCATCATCATCTTCATCGTCGTCATCGTCACTGGGGTCGTCGTCGTGGTCGGCAGGGTGGGGGGGATTGGCTGGAGGCCATCATCGTCGCCTCTGCCCAGCACAATGCCACCTGCCTGCGCCAGGTGGGCCCCTTCTTCTCCGGGGAGGCAGGGTCCCCTCTGCCAGCATGGACAGGGGCGGCCCAGCTGCCGGCGCGGCCTGTGCCGCCTGAAGGGGAGCACCATGATGCGGCTCAACCAACCGACCAATGTCCTGCCGTGGGGGGGGGTGGCCATCGCCGGGGGTGCCCCGTCGCCCTCCCTCCAGCACCACCTACAGGCCGAGGCAGTGTCACTGTGTGCCCCGCTGCTGTTGGGTGGCGGCCGAGGAGGAGGGGGAGGTGGTGGTGGTGGCGGCGGCGGCGGCAGCGGCGGCGGGCAGGCGGGCGGGCCGCCATCGGTGCCGGAGGCGGCCGCCAGCGGGCGCCCACCGGCCCCAGGCACTGGCGTCGATGGCGCCAGCGGCTGGCCGCGCATGACCGCATTAGGTCCACGGCTGGAAGTCCCGCTCCAGGGTGCTGATGTTGATCATGACATTGTACCCCTGAATGGCGCGGATCTGCCCGGCGAGCAGGGGGTTGAAGGGCTCCACCTCCTTCTCGACGAAGATGGCCAGCTCCGTGGGCTCGATGACCAGGTCATACCCGACCAGGGCCAGGAAGTCGCGCTCCATGCGGTTGATGTCGCGCGTGGCGAACATCCCCCGGGTGAGCTTGCTCCAGCCGCGGTTGGTCAGGGTCTGGTCGTTGAGATACTTGGCGGCCAGGATCAGGGCGATGAAGAAGACCCGGTGGGAGGTGTCATCACCGGACCGCGCGGTCCGAGGCAGAGCGGCCTATGGGCGCGAGGGGGGGGGG